ATTCTTTCTCGTTCTTCCCCAAATTCTACTTCTTAATCCCTAATTCTATTCTTCAAATCCCTAAATCCCAATTATCAAACCCGTTAGAAACCTTGTTTCTAACATCTGGTATCAGAGCCTGGTTCCGGAAGACGAGTTCATCAAAACTCTTTCAGGGATAGCTTCCTACCAGATCAAATCCAGATGAGTTCAACCGATATATCGGCGCTAACGTGGGCTCAAAAGCAGGAACGATTATGGCAGATCGTGGAGTACTGGAAGTCGTACGCGTTGCGTCGTGAGAAAGTAGACGCGAAGGACGGTGGTAATGACGCTACGGCGAGGCAGCAGGCGCCCACAGGTGTTGGCGGACCCGACGAGCAGCCGTCTCCGATAAGCTCTGCGGCGGATGACGACGTCGAGACGAGCAACAAGAACGAGAAGCAGCTGCTTTCGGCTATTACCACCACACCCGTCCACGACGGCTCATCAGCAGCGGCCACCATCACTGCGGCGGCACCACCAAAACCGCTTGTAGCAAGTGAACAATCATCCAGGGTGAGGAACCATAGCAAGTTTGAAAAGGCTCTTTGTGTGGTCGTGACCAAAGAAGAAGAAGATCTCTCCTCTTCTGTTCTTGTTCCAGACAAGGAGAGCTTAATCGTTCATGGAGAAGAATCCCAGGCTGAAGGGTCGGAGAGAGGAGATCAGTGCTGAACCGAGTGGCGAACTGGAGATTCAGGAAGAAGGAGCCCGATGGAAAATCACCATCGCCTACCTGCGACCGACGACGGGAAGTGATGACGACATCGCGTCGCTGGATTGATTCGTCTGAGTGCCGAATCGCACGCGGAACGCGACGACTGGCTGCAGTTTCCGTTCCGCCGTCGAGCAAAGGGAAGACGAGGTCTAAGGCTGGGCTGAGGGAAGGTCCACCAACAAAGACGAAGAAGATTGGATCCTTCGGCCGGCTGTCGATGAAGGAGGGTCCGCCGGAGTCGAAATTTACAACTACTTCAAACGCCATGACAACATACTGGAAGGCGGGGCGGAAGATGACGAATGGAAGTCCGATTGGGGAGGTTTCGAGCAGGAAGAGGGAGTCGGGTTGTCGAGCTTCGCCATCAACAGCGCGAGTCGCGCGGGAGATGCGGCGAGTGTCAGCGAATCTGGGGCGGGCGACTGAGTGTCGAGTTGAACTTCCAAAGAAGGTAAAGAGTCACTTGTCGCCCGAGAAAGCAGCGGCGAATCTGCCTAGCTATCGAGGAAGCAACTCGACGCCGGAGGACATGTCGGAGAAGAAGCTATTAAATGACTAGTCGTGAGAGGGCGGGTGGCAACGCCATTCACGCCGAACGAAGAAAAGGAGGGTGGCGGCGTCCTTCTGTTCGTGAAACCTAGACAGGAGGCCACCCTTTTGGGTCGAGATGGGTTGGCCCGCAACCTGAGCCGGAGGAGTGAGCTAGTGGGGATTCCGGTGGGCCGACAGGAGTTTTTGACCCGGCCGTGTGGAGGAAAGAAGTGGGCGGAGCGGTCCACGGAAGCTGATCAACAAAGAGGGCCAGGACTTGGTTTCTTGCTTGGAACGGGAGGAGTGGAATGTTGGGTGGAGGAAGTGGAAAGAAGAGTCTGCATGTGCTGGTCCTTGAAGGAAGTGGACCTGAAGGAAATTGAATGTTGGCCTAATGGGTCAGAGGCTGGTTTTTCAAGAGAGCAGAGCCCAAATGCAGGGCCTGAGCACGGGCTGAAGTTTGGAAGGGAGTGGACCGATCCAGAACCAGTTTGTGGACCATTCTTTGGTTCGAACGAGGCTTTGGTACAAAAACCAATGCTTGGGCCTTACATGATCAGATTGACATGTATCCTTCTAAATGGGGTTGGGCCAAAATTATCAAGTCACATGGGCCAGTGGAATGGACCTGAAGAATTAGTGGCCACAGCAATATATTGGGCAAAAGATGGGTTGAGTCTGTCCTTCCGTCAACTGAGGAGGCCATCGCCGCCGGTGAAGGAAGACTCGGCGATGGAAGGGAAGAAGAAGAGATGTGGCGGGGGCAGCGGAGTGCTCTGCCCCTCCAAGGATGATGAAGGTGACGCAGGAGGTTGGCGGCGGTGAGTTACTTTGGCTCGCATACCCTCTGCTGCCTCTTGCCCAAACGACCCAGCAGCAGATAAAAGTGGGCTCGTTATTTCCGTTGGGCCGAGCTGCTTCGGTCAATGGGGTCAAAGGCCCAGCTGAGGTGGATCTCTATCACGGGCCGACTTGGAAGAGGAATGGTGGGCTCATTCTGGGCTGACTGAACCAGTTGATTAGGCCTGGAAATTTTGTTACTTGGGCTCTGTTTAGGTCAAGTCGCGGGCCGCAGCTGAGAAAGGAAGGGGCCGACGATAACCTGTAGTCTAGGCTGAAGTTTGCAAGGAGCCAGATTCTTGTACCAGTCTCTAGGCCGCAGAATAAGACTATTGGGCCGCGTCTGCACGAAGTGCTTGAGCCCAATCGAAATTGTGTTTTGATGAAGGTGGGCTTGGAGGAAAAGGAAAATGAGTTTGAAAGCTTATTTGGTGGGCTTCCAAGAAAGCAAGGCGCAAAATTAATGGAAGAAGCAACAAATCAAAGTGATGGGCTTGCCCCAAGAACAATGTATGAAGGCCTTGATCAAATGGTACTCAAGGACGGGTTCTTGAACAAGAACGAATTCTTGAGTTCCTTGAGTCTCTGAAGGGCGATGACCGCAGAATTGTTTAAGTTCGAGGATCTTGCTGGATTGGTGCTTAAAGACGGCTTCTCGGATAAGGAAGCAAATAATGGGTCCATGGAAGTGAAATTTGAAGAGTGGGATCGAAACAAGCATGTCGGTGCAGGAAGTCTAAGTGAAGAGTTAGAGCGTGATTGGAAGAAAAGAAAGCGCAAGGAGTGGAGAAGACAAAACGCGGATTGCACGGGAGATGTGAAGAGATGGGTCAAGTCGATCAACCTTGAGGGCAAGGTTGGTCTGAAGGGGGAGGAGATGTTAGAAACCGATTTATCTAGGGTTTCTATATTTATTATTTTAATTATTGTTAGGGTAAGTCTTATTAAGGTGAGTAGTCATTTAATAGAATTAGGTTTATTGTTAGGGTTTTCCACCATTTCCTATATATATGTACTTTGAACGTCCATTCAGAATCAATAAGAAGCATATTAAGAAAATTCCTAAACCCTATTCCCTCCCAAATCCTCTCAATTTCTCTTCTTTCCCTAATCCGGCCGCCGACCATTCTTTCTCGTTCTTCCCCAAATTCTACTTCTTAATCCCTAATTATATTCTTCAAATCCCTAAATCAGAATTATCAAACCCGTTAGAAACCTTGTTTCTAACATGGCGGCATATGGTGATAGATTGCTGCAGGATAGCCTATCGATAACCTGTTGGGTAGTTAATAATAAATTACCATCAATTGTAATTTTTTTTTTGCCTTTGATGGTCTGTAAGAATTATTGAGAGGCGCTCAAGGTAATTTGCCTTGAGTTTGCTTGGGCTTAATGCAATTTTGATTTAACCATAAACAACATATATATTTTTTAGGTAAGCCGTTACGAAGCACAGACTAATTATCTAGTACGTTTAATAATGATCTAATGAGAATATGTTGAAGCATGTTGAAGCTGAGAGACATGCTGACAAAATATAGGCGTGTGAAGCTTAGCTATTGAAGGCCACCAACTATATTGCTATACAAACTTGAAGCAGAGCACGCCTACAAAGAATATAAACACCATCTAGAACATTCTCTATCGTGAAAAAGATTAGAGATGGGTTTGAGCTCATCCATTCGTGTCTATGAAGAAGATCCAATATGTACTTATGTTGGCTCAGAAATAGGCCATAGTCAGTTTGTTGAACCTTAATGCTCATGAAATATGATAGATGATCGATCTATGAAAGTGCATGGAGAGGATGAAGAACGACCATATGTTGTAAGATTAAAGAAGCATCTATCAATGATGACATATAGAGAAGGAAGTAACTTGATTTATGAATTAAAAGGGATGGATTAATCAAAACATATATATATATATATAGGAGAGTAAACTAGAGTTTTGCCAACTCAGCAACCGAGAACCATCCCCTAATTTGCGGAAGGGTATTTTGGACAAAATATTCCATTATGATCCGGGCCTCACTTTTCAGTTTTTTTGGGCCGGTTAGTTAGCCGACTAAAGGATTAAGCAAATGAATAGTAAAACAACCCTGATCCCTTAGCCTTAATACTTTCCCAAGTCCCAAATAGTTTTATACTGTCAGAGTATGGCATAGAAACAAACAAATAATGGTCCAAGCCACAATATTTATTAATCCAGGAGAATGTTGAGACGAAAAAACCAATTGGAACAAATCAAATGATAGAAATGTAGGGTTTTCAAATGGTTAATGGTAATTCTCAAATCAATTAAGTTTAAATTTTAGCAGTTATGTGTACAATATATTAATTAAACTTATCAAAATAAAGAAATTATAATTTTATTAATTGGATAATCGTGATAATAAATAAAAAATAACATTATCATTATGTGAGAAAAACTCATATTAATTTCTCCCTTCATAATATATAAAATGAAAAAGCCATGACAATCAACTCATAAGTAACTCTTAACATAATTACATATACCGTTAAATCCATATACTGTTGAGAGCGTCTTCAACCCTTTTCTATATTTGTTTTGAAGTTGGTATTATATGTTCATTCTTCCATTTCAACTAATCAAATCTTTCTTTAAAGAAGTACAATGAAAAAGTACAAATATTACATAACGAAGTATGCGGTGATAGCCCATTTATTTGATAAACTAAAATTTTGATGAAACACATTCCTGGCATGGCCACGAGAATAATAGTAAAATTTTATTGACATAGTGGCTACGGATGCACATGTCATCATGGTAATTTCATCTATTTGAGTTGGAAAATATCGGTTAGTAGTTGATCAGCTTTGGTCCTGCCCCGCTTGATAGTAGTCTGACTTGGATTTCCGTCCACCTTGACATTAGATTAGACTTATTTCCGCTCCATCCTGATAGTTTCATATGTGTTTGAAACAAGGTTTAGGAAACCCTATTGTACCAACCGGTTGGATTGGAAATACCAGATACTGTACAAAAAATGATAGGTGATTTTAATGGTAGGAAACGATTCAATCACGATTAAACCATGATTTTAGTACAAAATATACTAACATTCACTTTTCCGGTTCCGATACAGTTTCCTTTGTTTGTTATTAGGGTTCCCATGAAGAAGAAAGTATATATATTTCTATTTTTAAAATTAGGGAAAAGACCAGACAACGCTTAGATGTTGTATGTATGAAATACCCATATCTGGCCAACCGGCCGGGTAAAATTCTATTACATGATATTGATAATCCAAACTGAGTGAGAGTTGTGACTAAACATTTAATCCGAGTCAATGCCCCTTATGGAGACTGTATTTCAACTTAAGGAGATGGAATTATCGCCGATTTGAGTCATTAAATAAAATAAGAGTTGGAAAAATAGGTAAAGGGTATGTGGTATGGCTTACGGGTTAGATGAGGCGGAGGTAGCCGTAGGAGTAGTGGGTTGAGAAAGTGAGCTTGAGGGATTGGATTGGGTAATGTGATTGGGCTCTAGTTTGAGGATTATTGTAGTAGATCAGTCTATTAAGTGGTAATGACTTGGACTTTGGATATGCAAAAGGAAATGTAGCCTCATCAACCAGAACTTGATGGGCATGATGAATACAGTAATATCCTCTAGGTAACTTTTTATAGCCAAGCAAGGCACATAGAGTGGCACCTAAAACTCTGTTGATGTTTTTTTAGAGGTAGCGTCTTTTGATTTTGTAGGGTGGCTTCACTAAGTGTTGCTTTGGGTGGGATTTTGGGTAGAGGTTTCTAACTATTTTTTTCTCATGTCATTACTTGGGAGAAAAAAGCACATAAAAGAAAGCTGGTCTAATTTATGCACATCACGAAAGATAACACAGCTTATAAAAAAGATTGAAGATTGAAATGTAAGGTTTGCATTAAAATAACACAAAAAAGAGAGAGACATAATTGATAAGAGGAGTAGGATTGCAAGAAGTAAGATGCGGTGTCAAATGCAAGAAGTCAATACTTTGTTGTGGAACATGGTCTTGGCATAACATTGCAAGGCCATTATCAATAGTGTAACGATGGTTACTCTCGGCACACCCATTATACTAAGGAGTATGTGGACAAGATGAAAAACAAGTGATACCAACAAGGTAAATTTGGTATATGATCTTTGTTTGAGCTCCAATTATGCCTTTAATGTTCCAAATCATGCAACCATCAACGACGATCTGTATATATCTAGGCTTGAGACTTGGAAATATCATTAAATAATACTGTATAGAGTAAAAAGGAGCTAAACATGTGTATAATTGATTTTGTCATCATGAAACAAAAGCTAGCAAAATGAAGAGATCTATGGAACATGGGTAAAGAGCAGTTAGAAAAGGTTATCAGCATAGTGCAACCTTGTCCATTCAAGAGTTGACACTCACGAGTCACGACAGTTTGGTGTAGACTCATAAGCCCTATTACAAACAACAAAACTAAGATATATTTTAGCCAAAAGGGGAAGCAAAAGATGAAAGTGCACGGCAAATATTAAAGAGAAGATACATTAGCAATGAGAGATTGATCACTCCCATCAACAATGTCATAATTGTTTACAACTTATTTTTTATTTCTAAATACAACAACCTCATTGATCTTCCTACTACCAACCTGGTTAACTAAGCCAATGGCTGCTTATTCAAAACTGATGGATGAAAGAGTTGACAAATAAAAGGTGAAACAATGGATGGTGTTTACAAATATATATTAAAGTGAAATTCCACTTACAAGCCTCTCCCTCAAAAAAAAAATTTCTTTCAAACATAAAAATAACTCAATATATAATTATAAGAAATGAAAAAATGGGAATGAAGATTGAGGTGTTTATGGTTGGGTAGGAGGTGCTTCAAGTCTAATGTAATCATACATGACTCCCATAAAAGGGAAGCCTCCAGATCTTGCCGCACGAAGAAAGATTGAGTTCTTCCCTTTGACAAATAAATTTGAAGGTAGACCTGCACTGAAGAACCAGTAAATTCCATGAATTCCATGTCTCGCAATTGCATTGTCTTTTCCCACTCTCTCTGTAGCAAATGCTGGAGCTTTAGCATTTAAATTGTTCACGTAAACCTGAGGGGAAAAGGACACCAAAAAAAATGCATTCCACATAAATGATAATTCTTATATAAATACACCATTCACAATGGAAGTTGACAAAAGGAAATTGTTCTTACAAATGTATTTGTCTCTAGTGCGCCTGCCAATGCCAGTTGAAGAGTGTAATTTCCAGCTGGGGGTACATCTGGGAGGTCAAAATTGATCTGCCATGTGGTCGGTTCACAATCACCCGGCTTTACTTCTCTGTAAAATTGCAACAAAATTGGAGTAATTTAAATGTGATAGGACCAATATTTTCCACCCACAAATTCATAGTGAGAAATGCGATAAAATCATTAGAAAACTATAACTAGGTAGAAGGTTATACATACCTTAGAACATGAGCAAAGAACCAATCCTTGCTGTAATTACTAACACCGATATCAAAAACAAGATCACTCTTAGGATATAGTTCAGGATACCGGAGCCACAGTCCATATTGTCTGTACCTGTAATTGAAAAGTGCTATTAGTGAGCTAACCATATGGAAAAGGATGGTCGATGTTTGAAAATTGCTTGTATATAGCACTTACTTATCGTTTGGTTTGTCGACGAAGAATTTATTGACAAACTTCGGATCTGGGTCTGGGACAAAGAACTCGGCAGCAGAACGGTCTGGAATGCCAATTTCCCACAATGTTGGACCATTTCTCGGAGCCTTGTAGGTAACTGGACCTAATTTGACCTCATTCCCTGTAATATTAAACATTGTTGAGTTTCAAATTCGATTTTGATCTTGTTGCAAAATGCAAATAAACTACAAGGCTGAGTTAGATATAGAATATTAAGTATTGCACACCTGGTTGAATGGTAATAAGATCGGGATGCTTGAATGTGCCCACAACCCCTGGAACCCAACCGTATAAATTGTAGTCTCCAGGTCTCACATTTTTAATCACGAAATTTCCTTTTTGATCTGTTTGTGTCCAAAATTGATAACCCTAACATTGAAAAATAAACGAAATCGCCAAACCCAAATTAAACAATTGTTTAATCGAAATATAACAAAAATGTTCAGACCCATGTAGAAATTAGTTAGTACATAATAACATATCAAATTTAATTCCTGTTTAGTTTCTTCTTCAAAGTATTTTCTCTCAAATTATTATATAAACTACTCTTTTGTTAATAATTGAACCTCCCCAATAGTTTGAGTTATTATTGCTATTATTTTAAATTAATGGAGTCAGCTAGAGATATGTAGGGAAATTCAAGAACCTTGACATCGAATTGAAACGCGACTTCGGTGGTTCCTGGTAATGCCAAACCCACATATGCTGTGCATGCCTCTTTTGGAGTCGGACTTAAAACTCTGTAATTGATTTAATTTTTTTAGGCAAATAGTCAATGATAATATTATTTGGTGGGAAAAAAAAAAACATTTGGTCGTTTTAAGTAGCACTGAAATGTCATACTTGTCATCCACCAGTAGTTGGCCAGAAACACTTCCTCGTTTAGCAGCCGGAAGATAATCTTCCGATTGAACAAAACTGTAGGGCCAGTTCTTCACTTCTTTCTCCATCTGAATTTGCCAACAGTACAAACATATTTGAGTCCATTTCTTGTATTCGTCGAATCCAAGAAGCCATTAACAAAAAAATAGAGTGGAGTATACCTGTGCTTTTGCATCTTGCCAAAGAGCCGCATGATCGTTTGAGGGAACAATAGAGTTCAAATACACCATAACCGGCCCAAACACCTTCTTCCATGGCTCTCCATTCCTATACTCCGTCACCATATCCAACCCAGAATAGTGCACGCTGGTAAACATCTGTGTACGTACGCCACAAAAGAACAAACAACACATGGATGGTAACATATAGTACGATTAGCCACGAAAATGTTCAGCCTATACCATATTTCTTGCAACACAAGTAACATGCGCGACGACGATGAGGGCTTACAGCAAGGCAAATGGGTCCGCAGTGACAGGTAAGTTCAGGCTTGTTGGGTCCGCCGGCGACGTACTCCTCGCTAGGCGAAATCACCCAGAACCCTATTTTCGGATCGTCGGAGATCCAGCCTTTGAGCTTGTGATCTTTGATCTCCATGGAGTATTGATACTTGTCGTCCACCTGGTCTTTGAACTCGGGCTCGATCGCAGTGGTCAAGAGCACGGCTTCTGGGTACGCAAGCTTCTCTCCAGTCTCTCTGTCTTTGTAAGCAGGCATCATCTTCTGGATTTCGTCGGATACTGCCATGTACTTGAACCTGTGAAACAACACACAAAAGCAAGCATTATTGGATCAATTGTTGAACCTGCCATTGGAAATTTCTTCTCGGGCCTATTATCGATGGAAGTCGTAAGATGTGTGACAATTTTACATGGTTATTTTGGGCCGGAAAACCATTCGGTGTTGATCCATGTCGACGTCGGGCCATCCTTTGAGTCTCTCGACGATCACGTACCAGTAAAAACCTGAGACACCCTTTCTTACTATGAACCTTTTGTCAACGTTGAGTGGGACCAAATCCTTTGGAGAAGCAGCCCATGAGCTGCTGAAGGACAGCTCTACTTGATCTTCAGTTTCAGTTATGACGGTAAACTTCGTTCCCACCACCCTTCAAATGGAACCATAATCAAAATAGTAAGCTTTTCTTGCGTTAGAGAGAAAGTAAATATGATATGAATAGTCATTAATTAATTCTACTTACTGTTCAGTCTTCCCTTCTCCTCCTGGGTGATCCCATGAGACATCAAAATACCTGAATTTTTAGATAAACAAGTTTGGACAATATAAGATTTGTAGGCTCGTATATAACAAAATCAAAAACTTATCATACATTCATCGCTTTCTAAGTTCGAATGTTGTGAGATCATGATGCGTATATACATATATGGATGATTCGATTGTTTGTTTCTTTTTATGGTAAGAAAATGCTATTAGGTTAGTTGGCTAGAACTTCTATCGTAACTCATATGACTATCACTTGGTTACGTTGATCCTGTCAAATTAATGTTACAAATCAAACCATCTAACATGTTGCTTGCTAGCTACACGTCACCGTTTGTTATTAGCATAATAATCATGAATTACCCCTTATATAGTACGATATCAGAACACGAGGTAAAAGGGAAACTAAAACCAACCCTCCAAAATCATCGGGCTCGTGTGTTTCCAACACGTTCTCGACGCCTTGGTATTTCAGTGCACGGACAAACCCTCCTGGATTCGTCAACGTCAGTTGTATGATTCCATTGTCGATCATCGCCTATTATGGTTATCAACCAAACACAAAAGAAAGGGAAATTAAATTCTCAACTATACAATTTATGATTCTCCTAGCTACATGCATGCACATGCTTTAACGATTCCTTTGAGTTTGCATTTGGCGCACATAGTTAGCAATGCATAAACAGGAAGAGATAACACGTATATTTGAACATTACTTCGTCTTTTCCAGACGTGAGTTTGACCCCAGCGGATGGGACAACGTTTCCTGCCGGAATCGGGACCGTCCTGCATGCAATCAGAGACAAAAAAAAAAACAAGTGGGCTTGTAAGTCAATATTAATATTCCTTCCGAATTCGAGAACCTAATAAAAGCAAGAGGAAGGAGGCAGAGTAAATTCAGAGTTTCATACCCGGCTGCAGCGACAGTAGCGCTACTCGTTTGTAACTGTGGTGCACACAGAAGTAGGCATAAGGTGGAAAGCATCAGCCATGATGGAGAAGGTGACCACCAGATCAGTTTCGCTTCCATGTTCGGATCGATCGACGTCAGAAAGAATGAATGTTTGTGTTGTGATTTTTGACAATCTGCTGTGTGGCTTATATATGGTATCAACTAGTTTTCAGAAACGAAGATGGTTGAGAAGCTGAGAAAGAGAATGGATGCTTTTAGAAAAACATTTCCGGTTTCACCGCTTGACCACGTAAATTCTTGCTACCGATCCGACCCTCGCGTTCGCACAGAGACCCAACCCATCTTTTTCTCCAACCCAGCTTGCAGTGAATATAACGACGACGGTTTCCATAACTTCACCATTATTTGATATAATCAGAGCTGGAGAGCTAATTAACGATCCCCGTATATTAATGGCGAAGAAGTCTCCCGACGAAGTTCATCCGGTGAAGGCGTTTGGGTGGGCAGCGAGCGACCCATCTGGTCATCTCTCTCCCTTCAGCTTCTCCCGCAGGGCAACCGGAGAAGAGGATGTGAGGTTTAAGGTTCTGTATTGTGGGATCTGTCACTCTGATCTTCACTGCATCAAAAACGAATGGGGCTTCTCTACCTACCCTTTGCTCCCAGGGTAGGTATATATGTTTTTACCTACACTTGATTCTAATAGAATTATTATACATATAATTTCTAACAAAGATGAAATCCACTTCCATGAGTATGTTTGTAACATATGGCTGTGGTTTGGAGAATTGGAGTTAATGATTTCTAGATTTTAAACAATCTAAAGATTTCAATTGTCGAAAATTAGTTTTAAATTTGTCGTTGTTTTGTAACTGCAATTGTTAACATTCAATATATAACAATAAAAAAATTCAAATTTTTTTATTATGAAATGACATGGAACCAGAGAGATTTGATATTTGTAGATTTTAGAGATTTGAAATTTCTATAACTAAAATCCACTCCACGATACAAAAGTAGAAAAAAAAATTCTTTGAATTTATTGATTCAATGAATCTGTGATCAAAATAATGTTCTCCAAAGGAGCCCATAATGCGGATTCCTTTATCTCCAAATGAGAATCGCATTAGTTTGCGTTTGAATGGAATGATTTAAATTTTAAATTATATATGGTGTTTGGATTTGTACCTGTTGAAATTTGTGTGTGCTCTGATACCATGTTGAAATTTGTTGTATTGTGTTTTTTTGGTGCCATTTGATATAAGTAGGAAATTTTTGATCTAAAAGAGTTTTGAGAATTGTAGAAAGGTTGGGAGAGAGCTATGGTAGAGAGAAATGTAACACAAGGAATATGTTTTCCCCCTTTCTCAAGGGTTCATCTCACCCTTGCATGTTTTTCTTTTGGTGGGTTCTTACACCACACCTCTCTTTGATGGGTAGTTTTCTCGACACAAACTTCTTCATACAACATGACCTATATACACATATCACCCTCTCATTTCCCTTGATAATTAATATGACAACTAATTAAGCACATTAATTTTACTAATCTTGTAGATTGCCATACCATATTCATATCTCCTCTTTAATTAATGTGCCATATCTCACCTAGTCAATATTTGTAGCCTTATCATATCTTGATTTTTGTCACAAACCATTTATTTATTTAATTTTTTTCTAGAATTAACTTCATAATTTTTAACAGTACCAAATACAATGTGAATTTCAATTACATATTCAGTCTACAATTTTTACTTTGAAATAATATGGAAAACTATTGATTTTTAAATTTCTCATGACAACATATATTAGCTATTTTTAAATTTTTAAAAGTAAATATAGATACCAAACTTTAATTGTCCAATAATTGTAATGTGTGAAAAAAAAAACTTCAAGTTAAAAAACTGAAATACCAAAAAGTTTCGAAATAAATATCCAAATAATGAATTTAAAATACACGTATCCAGGCACGAAATCGCCGGCGAAGTGACGGAGGTCGGGAGCAAGGTGACCAAAGTGAAACCGGGAGACAAAGTCGGAGTGGGATGCCTTGTCGGAGCTTGCCACTCCTGCGACAACTGCACCGCCGACCTCGAGAACCACTGCCCCCAAGTCATCCAGACCTACAACTCCATCGACGTCGACGGGACCATGACCTACGGCGGTTACTCCGACCACATGGTGGCCAGAGAGCGCTACATTGTCCGCTTCCCGGAGAACATGCCCCTGGACGCCGGGGCTCCGCTACTGTGCGCTGGGATCACGGTTTACAGCCCAATGAAGTACTATGGGCTGAGTGAGCCCGGCATGCATATCGCCGTTGTTGGGCTTGGTGGGCTGGGCCACGTCGCGGTTAAATTTGCCAAGGCCTTTGGCGCTAGAGTCACCGTTGTTAGTACTTCGCCCAAGAAGGAAGAGGAGGCACTGAAACGGCTTGGCGCCGATTCGTTTTTGGTTAGCACCAATATGGACCAGCTTAAGGTAAAAATTGATTGTTCCACCTACGTGATTTGTTTCAACTACAAATGAAACGTGGTCAAAATGTTGTATAAATTACGTTAAAATTTTTAGTCATACGACTCCAGAACTAAGGAACTCATTTTATCAATGTTTCCCAGAAAGAACAATTTACGTTGGATGGTATAATCGACACGGTGTCTGCAGTGCATCCATTATTGCCATTGTTGGGTTTATTGAAAGCCAACGGAAAACTGATACTAGTGGGTGCACCAGAGAAGCCTCTAGAGCTGCCTGCTTTCTCAGTGATTATGGGTAAGTAAACTATCAATTCCTAGCTGGGTTTATATGCTTAAAGCTTAATTCCTAGGATTTGGAGAACAGTTAAGGATGCTATTTATGTTGAATGTTCTAGGGAGGAAGACTGTTGCAGGAAGTAACATTGGGGGAATGAAGGAGACGCAAGAAATGATTGATTTTGCAGCAAAGCACAATATTACAGCAGATATTGAGATTATCAAGGCAGATTATCTGAACACGGCGATGGAGCGGCTGGCCAAGGGTGATGTTCGGTATCGCTTTGTGATCGACATTGCTAATAGCGTAGCTGATATATATCGAGAAACGACTCAACGTAAATAGATATATACATAGAGTTATATTTGTTATTTTTACATTTCACTTGCGGATATATGCATTTACCCGCCAACTAAAATAGTCGTGAGACAGAACAGTTCATATATAGGATTTTTGACATAATGTATACTTCTGAGTTCATCAAATAAAATCGTTTCTGCAGAAATATGGGGTGATAAATGAAAAGTAACCATACTTGAGGGGCTGATCAGACAAAAAAAGAAATCAAAGTCACTCCTTATTTCAGCTCCTCACAAACAATGATAGCGCCACAACCCACAAAAGCAGAGGCATATTCTTCAAATCCTCAAACAAACAAAACCAACCATCCACTTGCCTAGTTGCCTACGCTAGTCGTTTACTAATAACTCAACAAAATCCCCATTGAACACTCTGCCTATTGTTTTACACACACAAAAACTTAAGCTTGCTGCAGAGTGTTGGCCACATCGATCACAAATCGGTACTTAACATCACCCTTCTCAAGGCGCTGCATCGCCGTGTTCACATAATCGGCCGATATAACCTCGATATCCGCCGTGATGTTGTGCTTCGCCGCGAAATCGAGCATCTCTTGCGTCTCCTTCATTCCCCCAATGCAGCTCCCCCCAACTATCTTCCTTCCTGCAGTTCACACATGCCAAACAGTTAGCTAAAACGCCCAAAAAAAAAAAAAAAAAAAACCTTCACAAGAAGAAGAAGGTGAAAGCATCTCTCGATCATTACCCATCAGCAGAGGGAAAACCGGCAACTCAAGCGGCTTCTCCGGCGCACCGACCAGCACCAACTTCCCGTGCGTCTTCAACAGCCCAATCAATGGCATTATTGGGTGTACCGCTGAAACCGTGTCGATTATCCCATCCAACGTCCCCATTGCAGCCTGTATACACACACACACACACACCAGTACAAGATTAAGTTAATCTAATTAACCAAATGAAACAATCAATCTTCTTGACCACCGATTCGAATATGATTTTTTTTTACCTGCATTTGTTCCTGGTCGCGGCTGACCAGGAACGAGTCCGCACCGTGTCGCTCAATGGCCTCCTGCTTCTTGGCAGGGGAGGTACTGATGACGGTGACCTTGGCGCCCATAGCTTTGGCGAACTTGACCCCGACGTGGCCCAGCCCGCCGAGCCCGACGACGCCGACGTGGATCCCGGGCTTGTCGAGCCCGTAGTACCTCAACGGGCTGTACAGCGTGATCCCGGCGCAGAGCAGAGGCGCGGCGGCGTCGAGGGGCAGGGCGTCGGGGACTCGGACCACGAAGTGCTCGTCGCAGACCATGACGTCGGAGTAGCCGCCGTAGGTGATTGTCCCGTCGTGGTAGGTCCCGGCGTAGGTTAGGATCATTTTGGGGCAGTAATTCTCCACTCCGTTGGAGCAATTGTCGCAGGAGCGGCATGATCCGACCATGCACCCGACGCCTACTCTGTCTCCGACCTTGAATTTCTCCACTTGCCTCCCCACCTCCGTCACTTCTCCCACGATCTCGTGCCTAAAGTTTTTGCAACATTTTCAGTAAGATTCAGATTTGAGATTTGTAATATTGGTAGAAGCTAATCCTTCACATTACGGGAATGAAAGAAATGAGGAAAACCAAACAGAGGCGAGAACGGGAGTGGGAAGATTTACCCAGGGACAAGAGGATATGTGCTGGTGCCCCACTCGTTCTTGATCATGTGAAGATCCGAATGGCAAATCCCGCAGTACATTACCTTAAACTTGACATCTTTCTCCCCTGTCGCCCTGCATATTATTAATATCGTTCATCATTACATAACGAATTAAAAGTAACATCAAATTAGGGGGGGGTACAGACTACAGAGTGAATCAAAATCAGGAGATGGTTAAAGGCCAAACCTTCTGGAGAAGTTGAAGGGGGAGAGGACTCCAGATGGGTCTCTGGCAGCCAAACCAAAGGCCGGCATCGGGTGCTCCTTCTCCGGCTGATTCGCAACCATTTTTCTTTGTTTTCTCGAACGGGATTTGAACTGAACTCGACGGAGATGTAGATCGAATCGGAGATTTCTTTCCTGCTAACTCTCTCTGTGTGGACGATTTGGGCATTGGAGGCTGTCCGAGTGCGGGTTTATATAGAGGGTAGAAGAACGTAGTGTGTGAGTTGGTAGTTGGGAATGGGCCGAAGCCGAACGTTGGATCGGCTGCTTTGTCTTAGTGTGTGACTGTGTGTTGTTGTTTGTGATGACATCTTCGCTTAGGTAATAAAAAAAGTGAGGGTGGCCAACTTGATTACCCAAAAAAGAAAATGATAGCTCAGGTCAACATTCTCGTTTGACCAAAATACTGGGTGTGTGGACAAGTAAAGTAACCGCAACACTTTTCTTTGTTTTGTTTGGCCCACTCTTTGAGAAAGCTGTATGAACGGTAATGGCCTTTTTTCCAGAATGGTCGGGGATAAAAGACGGTTAAGTCATTTAAGTGTCTAGAATATGCACCACTCCCGTCTATTGTGTGGGTAAGATTTGCAGTTGATTTTCCTCCCAATAAGAGAAAATTGCAGTTATTAGCGTATATTTGCGACTTTGAGAAAGAGAGAAATTGCCTTCTTTCTTCCGCGATTAGATTTCTAATTTTAGACATGAGAGTCAGTTCGTGTTGGGTAATTTTTGAGATTTCAGGTTACAAGTCGGGTCATGTTGAGTTGGTTGATTTCGAGTTAAATATTGACCCAACTTATTCAGTTTCGGGTCGGGTTACAGGTAGTTTCGAGTTATGAACACTCTCAAAAATAGTATCAAATATGCTTCATACTTTTTTAAGAATACAAATCTTCACATATATATGCATGGAATGGAAATACTTTACCTAACATATGTCAATTAACATATGAAATGAAATACAAATTGCACAAATAGTATAAAAAAAAAACAATCACAAAAGTAATGCTACTACAAGAAACACATGATATTTGATTATCCTTCAATTCCAAACATGTCTTTCATATCCTTGTAAATTTTTTCAAGCATCTCACCAATATATGAGTGATTTTATCATTTTGGGAGTTACATATGAAATGGAACGGATCTAACAGGTCGACCAGCTAACCCACCAACCCGACCCAAAAAACCACGAGTTAATAAGGTTTGGGTCATTTGAATTTCAAGTATAAAAACCAGTGCAGTCAAAGCCGAACCGAGCCGGTCGGCCGGACCGCCAAAGCCGCCACCCGGCCGTAAAACCGGCTCGGATCAGCTATTTAACCGCCACGGTTTTATACAGCGGTCGGCGAGCGGCTGAAGCGATTAACCGCTCGAGCCGCTCAAGCCGGTCGCGCAGTTCGGCCGTTTGGTGGGAGAGGAGGTGGGAGAGGAGGAAGGAGAGAGGGAGGGGGGATGGGGAAGCGGAAGGAAGGAGAGTGATGGGTGGGGAAGCGGCGCTGTCGCTTGGATTAGGTTAGGGTTTTTTTAGTTGCTGTATATATATGTTGTGTAAAATTATTAAATGGTACCTGTAATTATCATTTTTACTCATTAAATCATTGAATTATTACTTTATGTGTGTTCTACTATGATATTATATTGTTTATAATGTACCGGTTCTCAAACGATTTTTAAACGGTCTAATGCCGGCTGGACCACTAATGACCGAGTCGTTCACGTTACCGGGTCATACTTCGGCTCGGCTTTGACAGCATTGATAAAAACTTTTATTTTATAAGCGTGTTCGGGTCAGGTCGGGTCAAAGAATCCAATCGTAATTTGCCAGGTTTATAAGATTTCATTCAAAAAAGGAAACGGGTTCATGCTTCTCCCTGCTTTTATCATGGGCAGACTCATCCGAAAGATGGGTTTTGGAGGTGAAAATCGGTTGTGGGACTATGTCAATGTCATTATGGGCTCCTCTGGTTTTCCTCGACAAAGAGACAATTTGAGGAAGAAGGAAAAAGAAGGGTCTTGACTGGAAAAATGCTCTGTGTGAATCCTCCTCTGAGCTCTACTCTCGCGACCAGTTCTGCTTCGCCAGGACGGCCGCCGGACAGCCCTCTTACTGACCAAATCAATGTCGCTCCGGTCGCGGTGGGCGAGGTGTTGTCGACTGCTGCGACGGACAATAACTCGTCGGAGAATCACTCGGAGATGCAACTTGATTCACCCCCTGACGTCTCGGATCTGACCCGCTCTAATGGTGCCTCGGAGGTGGTGGCGCAACCAAGACAGCTGGTGTCATACGCCGGGGTTGTGGCCGGAGAAGGGACCCCTTCTAAATCTCCTATGTCACAATGGATTCCGGTTGGTGAACATGACCTTGTACCGGGATCATTCCAGGGAGAGCCAGAGATAAAACTCTCGGATGGTTTCAGGTCCAAACTAAGCGCCCCATGGCAGAGGACCTTGATTGTGAGGCTGCTAGGGCGGACTATTGGCTACGCAACGCTCTGTAGCCGAATCAAGACCCTATGGCGGCCAACTGGGACTATGGAGGTCTTAGCCCTTGATGACGATTGTTTCTTAGTCAGATTGGAAAATGATCAGGACTTCTTCAAGGCATTAACGGAAGGGCCCTGGGTGATTTACGATCACTACCTTCTAGTAAGCCAATGGACGCCAGGGTTCAGGATCTCAGACGGGCTACCTATCAAGATGGTCGTTTGGATCCAGTTACCGGGACTTCCAATTCATCTGTACCACAAGGAGCTCCTTTTCTCCATCGGCAACCTGATCGGGCGCGCTATCAAACTGGACTTCCACACCCTGCATCAGCAGCGTGCACGTTTTGCTAGGATGGCAGTGGAGGTGGATCTGTCCAAACCGTTGGTGCCAAGGATACGCCTTGATGGTCAATGGCAAAAGGTTGGGTACGAAAATTTACCGGTCTTCTGTTTTGATTGTGGAAAGGTTGGACATACCAGGGTCTCGTGCTCGCCGCTACCCCGGGAAGAGCTGGGTAATGGTCCGGCGGGGATTTCGTCATCGCCGGCAGTTGATTCATCGCCGGTGGACCCGGCGGGTTTCGGACCGTGGATGTTGGTGTCGAGGAAATCCCGGCGGAATCAGCGGGATAAACCTATTCAAGGAAAGTCTGAGCAGGGAAAGCAAACCGTTAGAGGTTCGGAGAGGATCAAGGAGACGAAAGAAGGAAATTACCCAAAGAATCATGGGGTCGGCTCGACTATCCTCTCTGCTTCGGCCACCAATCTCCAACTGTCAAGCGCGAAATCACAGGCGGGAGAAAAGATGAAGACAGGGACAGGGAAAAACGGGAAGGGCGACAACAAAGGGAAAGGGAAACTGGAGGAGGCAATTTCAACGGGTGGTAAAGGAGTACTTGGGCCAAGCCCACGACCTGCAGGGACAGGCTCCGCGGAGCCCAGCAAAAGGGGAGGGCTGAAGGACACTGGATCCTCAAGCAGGATAGGGGAAAGGAGGCCGGTGGCCCAACAGTCGGTTCTTAATGAAAATGGGCCGCGACCCACAACCCAGGAGAGCATTCCAGTTCAGTCCATTCAAGGGAACCAAGGAACTAACATCCGAATAGTCCAAGCCCAACCTTACGTCTTACCTCCGCCCCGCCCGATTGACCCAGCGGCGCCGTCGACCGCGTCTCGCACGAAGAAGGAAAAGGGTCGGATGAGGGAAAAGAAAGGAACGCCGATCCGGAATAACCCGCTGAAACCTCTTCAAATATGGTCTCCGGTCAAGGAAAAGAAAGGAAAAAGCAAGGAACGGCGGGTTTCCTTGACTCTCGAGCAGATCAAACAGTGGACGGAGCTCTCGAAGTCAGGGTCAGCGATAGAAGCCGAGCCTCCTTTCACCTCCCCTCCAGCGGACAAAGACGCCGAGTCTCCCTGTGCCACGAGCCCTTAACCGTCCCCTCTGCCTCGTTTTTTCTGTTTCCTTTCTTCTCGTTACCTCTCTGTTTATGTTTTTAATGTCTGATTTTTTAAAATTTGGTTTTAAAATCCTTTCTTGGAATGTTGGAGGGGCTGGGAGCACAACTTTCGTTCGTTCTCTGAAGCTTGTGCTCCAGCTCCATAAGCCTGACATTGTTATTCTTGTGGAACCGCAGGTTAGCGGCGATATCGCCAATGGTGTTTGTGGGAAATTGGGGTTCCCGGATGTTCTCCGAGTTGAAGCTACTAGGCGGAGCGGCGGAATCTGGTTGCTGTGGAACGCTCAACATCTCTCGGTTCAAGCTGCTTCAGCAGGTTCGCAACACCTCACTGTCAATGTCTCCAAGGCCGGGATGCCTCCCTGGAAGCTGACGGCGGTGTACGCATCTCCCAGACAGCAACTCCAACGCCCTCTTTGGCACAACCTCATTGAGCAGAGTAAAGGAATCCATTGCCCCTGGCTCCTCACAGGGGACTTTAACGCGATTCTTTCCCCTATGGAGCAGTCGGGTCAGCACACTCCTCGGATTATCAGACGCTGTAAACAGTTCGGAGATTGGATCAATGAAGCGGAGCTCATCGATCTGGGTTTCTCCGGAGCTAGATTCACCTGGTCCAGGGGTAACCAAGCTCAGACCGCCAAAGCCAGTCGCCTTGACAGAAGTCTATGCAACCTTGAGTTCAATGAGACCTTCCCTGGCACCTCGGTCACTCATCTTGCACGCCTCAACTCTGATCACAGCCCTATCCTCACCACTTTGTTAAATCAGGGAGTTCCTAACCCCCCTCTGAAGCGTTTTCGTTTTGAAGCAGCCTGGCTGACTCATTCAGACTTTCATCAATTTATTGTCGGAGAATGGAATGGCCACACTGATTTTATTTCAGCCTTGCAGGAACTCTCTAATAAACTTGTCACCTGGAATACGGAGGTCTTTGGCAACGTTTTTCAGCGGAAAAGGAGGTTGGTAGCTCGCCTGGCTGGTGTGGAAAAGAAGCTGGCCATCTCCTTCTCCCCTGCTTTGGCCAAGCTCCACTCAAAATTAGAAGCTGAACTCGAAAGGACCTTAGATCAAGAGGAGCTGTACTGGTTTCAGAGAGCGCGGGAAAAGTGGGTCAAGTTCGGGGAAAGGAATACTGCCTACTTCCACCAAATGTCAAACATCAGACGGCGAGCAAACAAGATTGAATGCTTACGAGGAGTGGATGGGGAGTGGG